ACATTCGGATTATACACCACAATCCTGCCTCCACCCTTCACAAGCGGCACCAACTCCCTCAACACAGTCTTCGCATCCATCGCCGTCGCAACCACCAACCCATCAAACCCACCCCTCTTCGTCTCATCCACCACACTCTTAACCCGCTCCCAACGTCTGCGCTTCTTATAGTAGGTACCGCGTTTCGTTGACTTCATACTTGCAAGTACCTCCTCAGAAATTATCTCGGGCTCGTCGTACGAAGGGTCGTCTTCGGGGTGGAGGAGGGCGAGCCAGGAGAGCGATTTGAGGTGTTTGTAGAGGGGGTGGGCGGGCGTGGGGTTGCCGTAGTCGTAGCCGAAGTATTTTAGGTAGGAGAGGTTGGGTTGGTTGTTGGGGTGCAGGACGGTGAGGGTGTTGGTTTGGGCGGACATTTGCGGGATGTGTGGTCGTGGGGGCTTTCGTGGGCGTGGGGGAGGATCTGAAGGGGTGGCTGTGGGGTCTGTGGTTGTTGTGGCGTCGGCGTCGGGCATAGCGGTGTCGGTGTCTTTGGGCTCTGGGGCGGAGGTCGGTGCTGGCGTGCTGTTCATGTCGACGTCAGCTGCCTCTTCTTCTGGAGATGAGTCGTCGTATTCGTCCTCAGGGTAGAGGATGCCCATCTTCTCGGCAAGCGCTGCTGTGACAAGACCTCCGGTATCATCTACCACGAGCCATCGGCCCCCTCCTACCTGGCTGACTCCATCCTCCGCCAAGTGAACCTGGTTCGTCGCTCCAGAGTGTATGTTGGCCCAGCTATTGATCAAGCCCAGTAAATCTTCCCTCAGCTCCATGATCTTGTATGCCTCCTTCTCCAGAACATACTCTGTGAGCAGACCAACATCCATGGGCAGGGCGGTGAAGCGCTTCAGGTACTTCTTCGACTTCCGCAAGGTGTACTTGGCCAGCGAAAAGCTCGTCTTCTCGTCGATTGCGTTGTGAGAAGCCATGATCTTGGCGATGATCTCCTTACCGGAGCCGGCGCCTGCCTTCTTCAGCTCCTCAATCTCAGCCATTGACAGCGCCTGCCGTGAAGCATCGTCGACGGTCAAGCGGTTGTTGCGCATGATGACCTGCCCATCTTCTCCCACAATGTCGAAGCCCGTAGCACCCGCAGCACCCTCGGCAGTCTCTTCGCTAGTTTCGGCGGTGGGCGCATGGTCGCTGCCTAGAGCTTCGGCGTGGAGTTCGGAAGCGGGTACGACGCGCAGCTCCGTCTTGGATTTGCCATCGTCCTTGTCGAGCAGTTCGTAGGTGAGATAGTACGGGCGGCCGAGGAGGAGGTTGGAGTTGAAGGTGCCGAATTTGCCGAGATTGATGCTCCTGTAGGGTGTTTAGAAGAAATCCTCATCTATATGCACACGGAGGGCTCACTCCAGCTATGCGACGTACGTATTCGGTGTGATTTCGACGATCTTGAAGAGGCCTGAGGGCAGTCGCAGCGCAACGTGCGTATTGGGGCGGACGTGGGAATGCATGGCGCGAATGTGGTCGCGGTCCTGTGTTCTTTACTATTCCATGTGTAGTTATGGTTAAAAGTCTGAGTATGGTATCTCAGCCCCGAGTTCTGCACGCGCAAAGGTGAGGTGGAGCTAGTGAATTTGTCGCAAGGAATAGTTCCGAGGCGCACCGCCGCGTCTTACTCAGCCACAGGCTCAGCCACACACTCGCACCAGTCGTACGTCATCGCCATCGCGACTTCTGCTACTTGGGCGTGTCACTCGGGTCCAACACGTCGCCTACGTCGACTACTTTGCTTCTTTCGCTGGAGTCCTGCTTCAATATCAATCCCCTCACCCACCTTCCTCATACTACCGCGCCGCGCCGACTGTCGCGACAACTCCCCCATATCCCACACCAAGCCCCAGGGCACTGCACCGTAAACATGGTGCTACGAAAGTCCGACGAAGCCGACGACGTCGTTCCAGCGCCGCTGTCCAAAGCGATACCCCCGTATCCCACGACGCCCTCTGACGAGCACCCGCCTGCCTTTCCCGTATCGCCCGAGCGTGCCGTGAACCCGCCCAGCACAAGCAAGTCGCCAGCGTTCAACATCAAGACGCCCGAGGAGACGCGACTTCCCGACGACAAGCACGAGAGCGACTCGGACCTGAGCGAAGACGAGTGGAACCAGTCGGATGATGACTTCGAAGACATCAACCACAACGACGTGCCTGCTGCCCTGAAGCCGGCTGCTGGAAAAAGGCCACCTGTGCCAAGTACAACACACATCACCAGCGGCCTTCCCGATGCTTTGAGGCCAGGGCCGCCGGCAGGTATCCCCATCAAGCGCTCACAGGAAAGCATCTCGGCCACGCCCACCGGTGCCAGCGCGGCTTCCTACGGGGCAGCCAGCACCGTGTCCGAGCAGTCCAATGGCTCCATCCCGCTGAAGACCAACAACCCCTACCTGAAGATGCAGACGACTGGACAGAACAGCTGGGACGGAGAGAGCAGCCAGGCTATCTGGGGCGATGCGCCGAGCCACGCCCACAAGTACGAGGCGCCCGTCGAGCTCCCGGCCTTCCAGACGCCAAGTACACCCACCCACGACATGAAGAACCTTGGACTAGATGACCATGCCCCGTCTACGCAGTCGACAGCACCAGTAGAGCCGCCTGTCATTGCTGTGAACTCACCTACACCCCGGTCGGAGCATCCAGACACCTCCCTCGATACGAATCCATGGGAACCCGCCTCGCACGATGCTCATACTGACACTGTACCCTGGACGGCACCGCCAAGCGATGCAGCTGCCCGTAATGAAAGCCCACACAACATTCCCGCCCCAATCATTCCACATGCGAATACTGTCGAGCAATCGTCTCATCCACCTCAATACACGCCCGAGCAAACACCACCCTCCTCCGAAGAACATCCACCTGCGCTGCCGCCAAGAAGGTCGCACGAGGACATGGCGCCTACAATGCCTCCTAGACCTATCGACACAGGCATTGGTTCGTCCGCTCCTCCTGCCTTGGAATCGCCCAATACGACAATGGAGAGGCAGAGGAAGGAACACTACCAAATTAAGCACATTCGCTGGCTTGATCACACCATCGAGGACATGCGCGTTTCGCCCATCCTGACGCAGAACCTGAATGGCCCCTGCCCTTTGCTGGCTTTGGTCAACGCACTAGTCCTTTCGACTCCTGCTAGGCTTGACACTGCGCTTGTTGAGACATTACGCACACGCGAGACAGTCAGCCTGGGACTACTGCTTGATGCCGTCTTCGACGAGTTGATGTCCGGTAGACGGGGTGATGCTGCGCAAGCTCTACCCGACGTGAGCGAGTTGTACAAGTTCCTCCTCGCTCTCCACACAGGTCTCAATGTCAACCCCATGTTTGTCCCAGACTCCAACACCCCGGATGCACAATCCACGCTCACGAGCCGAGCTGGCGCTTTTGAGAACACGCAAGATATGAAGCTGTACCGCACTTTCAACATCCCACTGATGCACGGATGGCTGCCCGAGGCTGGATCCGACGCTTATGCTGCCTTTAGTCGCGTAGCTGCGTCCTACGAAACATCGCAGTTTGTACAGTTCCAGGAAGAGGAGTTGAACGCAAAGTTAGGGGCGGGCGAGTCTCTGAACGAGGACGAGCAACAAATGTTCACGGATATCCATGCCATCAAAGAGTTCTTGATGCGTTGGCCAACACAGTTGACCGATCATGGTTTGAAGGTCATTCGCGATAACCTCCAGCCCGGTCAAGTCGCTATCCTGTTCCGAAACGACCACTTTTCGACGCTCTGCAAGAACCCTCGCAATGGCGAGCTCGTCACTCTCGTCACAGACCAGGGCTACTCCACCCACGACGAAATTGTCTGGGAGTCTCTTACCGACGTCAACGGCCAAGGTAGCCAGCTCTTCTCCGGCGACTTCCGCTCCGTCGACAACAGCAACACCTCCGGCCTACAAGACCAGCACCAACTTTCCGGCGTCGACAACGGCCAAGGCTGGACCACCGTCCCCGCCCGCCGCGGCAACGCACAATCCAACATCCCCCAAGACACCGACGTCACCTCCCCGGAAGCCCTCAGCCGCGCCGAACAAGAAGACCACGACCTCGCCCTAGCCCTCCAGCTCCAAGAAGAAGAAGAAGACCGCGAGCGCCGCGAAACGGAACAACGCAACTCCCGCAACAACCAACTTTCCATGGACGCTATCAACGCTCCTCCCCAGCCACCGCGGAACCCACAGAACCCGGTCATTCCGCCCCGCCGTAACAATAATATTACGGGGCATAGACCTGCTGGGGAAGCGGCTCCGCCGCCGTTGTACGAGGAGGCTATTACAAGTCCGCAATATGTGCCTCCGGCTGGTCATCCTGCGAGTGCTCAAGCGCCGGTGCCGGGGCAGGGCGGGAGTGCGTATCAGAGTACGAGTGGCGGGTTGCCGGCGCTGCCTGGCGCGGGGAGGGGCAGGCATGGTAATGTTTTGCCTGGACGGATGGGCGGAGGGAGGAGACCGAGTCAGGGGCAGCAGGGACAGGGGCAGGGACAGGAGGAGAGGGATAAGTGCGTTGTTATGTAGATGACGACACTTTCCCTTCCCTCCCCTTCCCTTTCCGCCTCTTTGGTTGTGCTGGGACGTGTTGGATGTGTTTGATTATCTGCTGACGTGTCATATTAGAGATTCGGAGGAGGTGCCGTGTTCGTGGTGTACGGTTAGTTAGTATCCGTTGTGAGCGCGGACCGAGGGTATCTAGATGTTGTTGTGACTGTGATCACGGTGATGACTTGGGCGTTTGGTGGTGTTGGAGTGTTTATATACCCGTTATTCTTTCTTGCTTTTCCCCTTTTCGTAGTACGTGGTCGGTAGGGGTGTTTGTTGCATCAAGTTGGAAGCAGTATTATTACTCCAAATTCCTACGCATCACTTTACTACTCTCCAAAGATCTCTGTTGTATGTGACATGTCAAACTATCATCATTTTCTTCTCCATCTAAGCATGCATGCCATGAGGCTTTCCACTGGATCTACGAACTACCAATTTGCCTCGCCCTCTCTCTCCCCTCCATCCGTTTCAATTCTTCATCCCACTCCTCTTCTTCCTTACTCTTCGCACTCTGTCCACTACTTTTACTCCACATACGAGTGTGTTGGCTTCCAGCTCCAGTTTGACCGCCACCGCCACGGGACTGAACGGCTTCTTGCAATAAAGTTGCTTTGCTCACACTCGGACTCCTCTGCTTTCCAGTCTCATTCTCATCCCCCTCGATGGAGGACGATAACGCAACATCCCGTTCTCGCCCCTGCCCCTGCCGTTTAACCATCTCGATGAACGACGACGATGTGGGTACAGCAGAAATCTGACCCAACTGCCGTTCATAAGACGTAGTAGCTTGTCTGTTATACCGCGGCATAGGCATGCCCTCACCAGCCGTCGGCCGCGGCGCCGGCGGCCTCATATTACAGTACGGCATCGGCGGGGGAGGTGGTCGGTTCGGGAGTGGTGGTGGGCGCGGTGGGTCAAGGCGTAGCGTTGATAGTGCGGACATCTTGATCGGTGCGTGTGTCGGTGATAAGGAGGATGTGCGCTGGGGGTGGATTGGCGTAGTCGGTCTTGGTGTCTTTGTAGGAGAGTCATTGGTGTCGGAGTGGTAGTAGTCAGAGGGTTCGAAGTTGGAGGGGTCGTCGAACGGGTTGTCGATTTCGTGGTCGTTGTCGTGATCGACTGCCTGGTCGTCGTCTTCGGTATGGTAGACCTCGTTATCCATGGCCATGCTAGAAGGCCGACTATCGCGTTCGACGATAGAAGCAGTTTCGCAGCGCCAACTAGCTGTGCTGGTACTGCCGCCACTTGCACCTCTGTTCCTATCTTCCCCTTGTGACAAGTCGACATTGTTACGCCAATTCGCAATGCCATTATCGGTGTCGTGACCACCTTCCCTCAGAGCAGGATGAACGGACCCATTAATCGTCAAGCCATCGCCCTCCGTATCCTCCTCCTTCTCCTTCTTATCCGCCGTCTTCCCCTCTGCAACGTCTTCGTCACCGCTGTCATCCCCCTCAGTATTAGAAAACCACCTCAACTGCCTCGGCTTCCCAGCCCCCACCGGCCTCCCTATCCTCCCAACGCCCCCATCCCCCCTCATCTCCACCCTCTTCCTCTCCATCTTCTTCAGCTCCTCAGCCCACCCGCTCAAATCCTCGATACTGGGTCCTTTGTGCCTAGTCCCCCTTTCCTGCGGGCTCATGGTACTAGCCGCGCTGATGGAAGGATTCGCTAAACTAGTGTTGATCCAGAGACTACCCTGTCGGTTACGGCGGGATGCGGAAGAAGAAGGTGTGGCGGTGGCGTTGCTGCGGCGGATGCTGTGGGCGTGGGGGGGGGGTGGTGTGTAGATGTTCGGATTGGTGGCGTTGGAGAGGTTGGACAGGGTGTAGTTTCGCGAGCGGAGTGGTAAGGTGTCGGAGCTGGGGTCGTGGGTTGGTTTGATGGGGCTGCTGGATGAGCGTTGGGTCAGGCCGAGATTCTCGTCTGTAGCGCTGCTGCGAGCGTTCGAGCTATTCGTCAGTGTCAAGGTGAGGTCGAGCGTAGAGCTGTTCGACCGCAAGGAACTGCCATCGCCATCTCCTAGACTCCTGACAAAGTTACCGTACTCATACCCCTCGTCGCTACCTTCACTTTCGCCATCTGCGGCAATGTCGGCGAAGTACTGGCAATCATCCACAACCTTTACAGCCCAAGCGAGCTTGATACCCTTCTCCCCAACCGCAACCTCCCTACTCTTCCGCCTATCCTTGTTCATCTTGAGTAAATCGCGCTGAGCCTCCAGTATAGTCGTCAACTCCCCCGTCTGCGCATCAAACTGCAACCAACTATCCACATCATCAAGTTGTTCTCGGCGGTAGATTCTATATTGTTTTGCGCCTGCTGCTTCGTCGTCGGCGTGGGAGTCGAGCTTTTGGGGAAGGGAGGCGTCGATGTATGTCGACAGAGGTTGATGCAATTTCAAGGAGCCGAGAGTGAGTTGAGCGGCGAGCAGGGTGTCTTTTGGACGAACCATAGAAGGATGTATGACATCGTTGTCGCTATTGAAGGACCGGCGGAGTGTGTGGCGGCTTGCGCAGACCTTGAGGGCCATCTTCGAGACGGAGGCTTTGAGGTCTTCGTAAGTGGCTTTGGCTTCGGCGTCTATAGAAGGAATATTAGGAAGCCATGGCGAAGGCGGAACGGCGGTAACAGGTGTCGTTGGAATCGGTATAGCCGTAACAGGCGTCTTCGGTGAAATCAGTGACTCCCAAAACCCGCCTTCTGCGAAAGAATTCTTGATAGCCCCAGCAGTAGCAGACCGCGGTGTCCCAGGACCCGAAGATAAGATCTCCCATCGCGGTCGCGGTGTAGTCGGACTCGCCGTCTCGAAGCGCGGAAGATGTGCTGGCCGAAGTGGATGTGCACCCGTAGGCGCAGTCCATGAAGACGAGCTGCAAAGGAGTAGTTGCCGTCCACCTGGAGTGACGATTGAGTGTACAGGCGGTGGAGGAGGACACCACCCAAGCACCTTCATACAGTGTTCCTTCTTAGCCCGCAAAATATCCTTTTTCGCTTGCCGCCATTTCGCCTCGGTGAAGCGCTCTTTATTCCAGTATATGACTTCCTCCCAGAATCTCAGGTGTTGTTCCTTAGTCAGGCTTTTTAGTCCCGCGGCTTCGTGTTGGCTGATTGACTTGCCGGTGGCGGGCGAGATGGCGCTGTCTTCTTTCGTGAAGACGCGCTCCATTGTGAGGACTCGTTCTGGCATTCTGACGGCGTGTGCGCTGGGTTGGAACGGACTAGGAAAGGTCTCGTGGGTTGCGGCAGGAGTGTTTGGCGGCGTGCTCGGTGGGCCCTGCGATCTAGCGAGGAGATTGAGTGTCATAACCTCTCCCAGGTTGTTTGGTCGAGTGAAGGGGACACGGGATTAGCTAATCGCAAGAGTTGCGCCCGGGGCAGTGTAGGCAACCGCGTGGGAAAGATTTGCAACTTGATGGGGAAACTCAGTCACGAGCTCTTTCACTCGCACTGTGAAGTATGGAGCGGTGTCTCGCAACAGGAATGACGAATGTCTTGGCTCGAGTGTGCGCTGTGATTGTATTTGTTGCGTGGTGCGACTATCGCGCGCTACGACCATGAGCAAACGCGCAAGTCGGGGTGAAACATACTCGGTGGAAAGAGACCATCGACCTGACGCGGTGAATTCACTGAGCGAACAGGAATGACTGACAATCCGGCGGTGAAAGTGAAAGGGGCATGTAAATATAATATTGACCTGGAAATTTTGTCTAGGTGGTATCCAACTCCGCTAATGCGAATGCGACGTCTAGTCTAAGAAAGTAAAAAGGTTTGTATGTACAACATTGAGAGCGCGGTCGGCCTCGCGCTCTTCAATGACACAGGAGATGTTGATCTCGCTGGCGCCTGGTAAATGTTAGCAATGAAGCGGCATTGAGATAGAGAAAGACGTACCCTGAGAGATCATCTCGATGTTGATGTTGTTCTGTCCCAACACGCTGAAGAATCTACCAGAGATACCAATCATGTTCTTCAGCTGCTTACCGACCAAGCTCACAATGGCCATGTCAGGCACGATGTCGATAGTACCGAGCTGGCCGAGGTCGTTGACGGCGCCCTGGAGGTCCTTGCTCTGGATCTTGTACTCATCCTCACCCCCTCCACTAAGGAGGGCAGATTCCGAATGTAGAGCCATCGACACGTGGACCTCGGAAGAAGATATGAGGTCGACAGAAAGGTGCCATCGATCGAGGATGCTAAAGATGTTCATCAAGAAACCATGGGCACGGGTGCGCTTGTTGCTGTGCACGTTGAGCACGACGATGTTGTGCTTGATGGTGACAGCAGTGGGGCGCTTGGGGCCTTCCAGCTGGGTAAGGAGGCTCGCGGAACGAGTGCGGAACAGCTTCCCGTCTTTCAGGGGCGCACGACCGTCAATTTCCTTCAAATTATCCGGGAAGATGATGGTACCGGCATTGCGCGGATTCATGACATTCTTGATGCGGATAGGGATGCGGGCGCGGATGACCTGCTCCATGGTGAAGGGGTGGATGACCTCAGATCCGTAAAAGGTTAGCTCAGCCGCCTCGGAAGGCGTGACGGTGGGAAGAAGAGCGGCCGTGGGGACCTTGCGAGGGTCTGCCGTGAAGATGCCGTCCACCTCCTTCCAGACCTGGAGCTCCTTCGCCTGAGTGCCAACAGCCACTAATGCAGCGCAGAGGTCGGTGTATCCACGTCCAATGGAGTTCAACAGTCCGCCGGGCACGTTGCCAAAGTATCCGGTGATAACGGGCACCTTGTCGCCGCATGCTGCCACCTCTTTGCCCAGGTCCTCGGCCAGGTCCTTGTAGAACTTGTCGTTGAGCCCGCCCTTGATGGGCGCATGGAGGCTGACGATGTCGCTAAGGTCGACAAACTGGGCCGGAGTGCCACGATCGTTCAGAATGGCGGCCATGTAGCGGCAGCTCAGCTTCTCGCCCTTGCTGATGATCTTGTCCTCGGCGCGGTTCGTGACTTCCTCCAAGTGCTGCGCGGATTCCAAGATCTTGACGAGACTCTCACACTCGGCATTGACCTCCTCCGTGTACGACGCCAGGATGTCCGGGTTTCTCAGGATGTCCTTGCCGGCCTGGATGTGGTCGGTGCGGATGGCCTCGACGATCTCGTCATAACCGCGGTGGTTGGGCTTTTCGGCAGCACGGGCGGCACGAAGGAGGCGGTTGGTAGTTCCCTCGAGCTTGGTGTTGCTGCTGCGTGCGGAGCAGACAATGGCGGCGCGGTTCGTCGCAAGACCAGCTCTGTTTACTGTCAGCGCCTTCCCTCTGGCGGGGGTTGGGATGGGTCGCACTTGACGATGCCCGCTATGTTCTCCGCAAACTTGCCCACGCTCGTGCCCCCGAACTTGAGGACAACCCAGCCTCCAGGGAGGTGCTTCTCTTCCGTGTGAGCTATCCGCTCGGACTGGTGTGTGGTTCCGTTTGTGTGTGCAGACATTGTGGTGTTTGTGTAGTTTCTCCAAGCAATTGGCGATCAAGAGTTCCCTGAAAGTAGAAGTATGGTCTGTAGATGTAGGAGACGTGTTCTTTCAGTAAATGACGTGTGTTGTGTCGTGTGAAGTCTGGAGTAGCGGAGTGAGGGAATTCTCAATGTCTTTTAGTGGGGCCTGAGTCAGAAAGTCCATGTTCGCGCCCGCAATCGGCGTCGGCGCTGCTGACGCCATGCCAGCGAACCACGACTCCACAACCCAGGAACATGCACACACACACACCTCAACGGAACGGATCGGTGCATGCGCATGTCCTCCCGGTAGCCAACGATGCGCTCGTCATTCAGCTACTGCGCCTTTGTCCGCACCCTTCGCAGCCCACGTCTCAACACCACGTCCTCTGGTGCCTCTGATACCTGACAACTCATTCCTCTTATCGCGTCTTAGCGCGTCGTCCAAATTACCGTGTCGTCCGCGTCCGACTACGTGCCGGTAGTTGCTCTTCGGCCCATCGGCTATTCGTCTCCTCTGTCTTGTGCACCACCTGTGCGACACTTCAGTAATCACAGTATTATCTAGCCATTTCTAGTCAGCGGCGAATTGATCCGATGATGTCCACGTCCATACGTCGGGAACATGAGTCTGGGAATCCGTCGCTCATCAACGACGTTGCGTAAATCAATTTTGGAAACCCGCTTCGCTAACCCCTAGTATACTCTAGCAGATCTCGAAAGGTTGCCTCATCCTCAATCTCAAGCGCTCGACTTTGCAGGCTTTGCAGTTCCTCTTGGCCGTAGCTACCGCGCGCCAATAATTTACCAACAATACTTCGATACCCTTTACCAACTGCTTCAGCTAGAGCGTTCCCTATCTCTGCATTGTACTCTAGAAGAAGAGAAACAACAGCGAACTGTCCATACCGTACTGCTGTCTCCAACGCCGGTTTACATGTATCCGCACCATGTCCTAGCAATACCCGAACTACCTCCTCGTGTCCGTTCCGACAAGCGCCTAGAATTGGTCGTTTCTCGTACTCACTAGACGAACCCAAGCCGTCTATACGGGCACCAAGTGCGAGATAATGCACCGTCATATCCACCCACCCATTCCTCGCGCTACGCACTAAGAATGCCGTGTATTCCTCAACACCAAACGTTCTGGTAACGCAGTGTTCTATTCGTTTCTTGACAAGGAAGTCATAAATCTCCAAGCTAGGTGTGTCCAGCGTAGCCAGCGCCCATTCGTTCATACGCCAGTACGAAGGCCTCTTAATCTTTCTCTCAAGCATCCACGGACGTTCCACAGCCTGGAAATTCCACAAGAACTGTGTTGCTTCTACGCGTCCATACTCGGCAGCCCATTGGAGCAAGCGCATTCGCATATACTGGAAGTCAAAGTCATACCTCAAGTTCAGCATAGCGGCAAGAACCTCATGATTGCTGAAACTACCAGCGTGGATGCATGCCGATCCAAAGAGCCAACTTGGTTTATTGAAACGCTTTCCGTGGAGGATCCATCTCGCGAGAATAGGGAGTGTCTGTGTGTACAGGGCAGCAATATAGATATCGGTGTCCAAATCGCTACCATATAAAAGTCCGTCATGCCAGAACTCAGCAGCTAGGTCGGTCGTCCATAGTTCGTCTAGGCGGTTGAATTCCTCCAACACAAGGGGGCATAGCTGACGAATGTAGTCGTTCTCGTTCCGCTCATCGTCAGTCTCTTGACTGAGACGATTAGCGACGCTGCGAATCCAGCGTAGAACAGGAGCTCCGTCACATCGCTCATTCAATACCCGGCGCTCAAGATAAGCTATCAACATAGTAGGTGCAGCCTCGTCGCTAAGATGTAGCAGAGGCATGAACTCGGCATCCAGAAGCTTGTATAGGGCAATTACCCTCATAATCTCCCTATCGAAAACCTCTATAGCCGCTCGTTAGCAGAGGTACCTGCGCACAAGATGGCAGATGGAAGCCTACTATTCACAAGCCGTAATCGAAGGCCGCGCTTCGTTCCCCGCACTAAGATTGCCCAGCCAAGGATTTCGTGCAAAAGCTCCAACGGCAAACTTAGCAGATGCATGGTGTATAGAGTGGTCGGCTTTGTAAAACAGATAGCTGTTCGGGAGGAGAAGAAGATTGAACAAGCACGTAAAGCGTTCAGCGGCTCTTATTCTTCGAACACGTTCGGGCCCGAAAGGTCGCGCTAAGAGGACCACGGAAACCACTTGATTGGCTGCTAGTAGCGGCGTAAGCTGCTGCCTGCCATCGCCTTTTCAACCTGAACAACAACCATGTCGTAAGTGGGCATACAATTACACACATCCCATTACCTGCTCGCATGCTGCTGAGACCCAGCAGATTTCAGCGCACAGTTTCAGAGCCATAATATGGCACAGCCCAATTATGGCGTGTTGGCCAATGATATTCGCCTTTCCGGAGCTTCGAAACCTGCGCACACACGGCACAGTCGGCTTCGCAAATGAACAGCCACGCATCGAAGAATCATGCAGGGGATAGCAATGCGTTATGCCATCCCACTCCAGCACTGGGCATATAGAGCCTGCTGATGCCGACGTGTTATGCTTGAAGTATTTAGCCCTGACAGGCACTCCTCGCTCGGGGGCTCAGAACCGTCACGTCAATTACAGCACCTTTACCGCTAGTCTTCAATTTCCCCTCATGGCAGGTATTGATGATGTTCGCCACACGATATCGACAGCCGGACCCGCGAGCTTTCCCACCTTCAACTGGTTGAATACGAGAGACCCTTGGGGCCCACTTACTACGCCTTGGAGCCCCCCGTTTTCATGTTCCACTAGCTGGGCACTTCGAAGCCTGGGTGCTGATGTTCATGTCACACCGGTGGTGCCCTCAGACTGTATGCCTGGTGGGTCGCGTATACACAGCCCTGGTACATGCTATGGCGACTACCATATTGTGCAGGTCATCGAATGGAGGACATCAGATTGGACGTCGGGGGGTAGCCGCGTGTTTGGTGTCGCTTGTTGTGAAAGGTAGGTACAGGTGCTCCACCACGCCGGTCCCTCCATCATAAGCTGTCTTCTGCTTACACAAACCTTAGTGGCTTTAGCAACACAGGCATTGGCTTTGCCTGGTGCCGGTCGTCGTTTTCCACGCCTATCACTGCGTACCCCACCGAATGGTTCGAGTCCAGAAGCGATATCGTGACCCAAACGGATAACGCCACAGTTCTTAGCAGTGGGATCGCGTCCATGGGGCCTATGGGAGCCTACTGGCAGGAATCAGATCTCTCAAAATTCGATCCCGATTATGCGGCCATACTCGTATCGAGATTTGATCTTGACTTCACACCGACTGCCATAGCCACAGCCGATGCCACAGCCGAAACAGCGTCTCCGCCAGATCGAAGTCAGTTCCCATCAGCGACGTCGTCCCTCGAAATGGACTCTGAAGAATCTACCGGTCTCAGTAGCGGCGCTAAGGCAGGCGTTGGTGTTGGGGTAGCCTTTGGAGTAGTATTACTGTGCGCAGCTGGTTTCTTACTTTACAGGAGACGCGTCCAGAAGGTGAAGCTTGATAGCAAATCTGCTTTGCAGAACGAACAACCGGAGTTGGTTCAGACGCGCGCCGCATAGCTAGCAGTGGTTACAGTAGCTTTCCACTCAAATTAAGGAGACAGCTCTAGCCATATATGCTTGTATCCGGTATTGTGGATCCTTGTAGCTACGGGACAAGGTGCGGCACAGCCCCAATCAACGCTCAACAGCCAACGATTCGATCCTTCTCACGGGCCACCTCGACCTCTGCCTCATGCGCATATACGGCGTAGTGGTCTCTGTGAATTGAACACTCGGCATCGAATCACCATGCAGGAGACCATAACGCAATTTGTTGCTACGCGTTGTCATTGAAGGATGGCCCGGACGCCATCGACGCATTGTAACTGAAATACACTGCCCTCGCAGATAGTACCGCTCATCTTAGATACACTTTCCAGACCACATCAACTACTTTCGACTTCTTTCGGTGATTCATTGTCTAGCAGCCGGACTTATGGCGGGTCTCGAAGAGGCCGGCCTCACAATCTACACTGTACGATCAGGCGGATTCTTTCCAACAAATGATGAGCTCAACCATTACTCGCCAATTTTGACTTCTTTCACATTTGCGTCGACATGTACCGATCAGTGGATTATCCAGGATCCGTTGACCTCCACGGTCCTCACAAACCCCGTTCCCACATCATGCCTACCTCACAGCACCCAGGCCTACAATAGCCCAGGCACATGTATCAGCAATTACCATATGGTTGCACTGGCCGAGTACAGAACCACAGGTTGGACGTCAGGGGGTTCACGCGCATGGGGTGCTGTTTGTTGTAGGGAGTACATCCATGGATCCAGCTATCACAGAGCTACTCCTGCTACATAAAAGCCCAGACACCCAAGCTGACGAAGACGATAGCGGCATGTTGGCGTCAGATGCGACAGCGAGCGCTTGCAGTTCCAGCTTCAATACACCCGTCACCGCGCTATATCCTTCCAATGCCTACCCCGCCCTCATCAGCGATCCAGCTGGGACAGAGCCCAGAGAGATAAGTAGAGGAGTTCAGTTGATGACCCTAATGATCGTCTACTGGCAAGAAACGGATCTTTTGCACTTCGATCCTGAATATGCGGCAACACTAGCCGCAAGACTAGACATCGACTTCACGCCGACAGCCACGTCCGAAGCGGCACCCCCGTCAGACCGCAGCCAATCCACTTCAGCTACTTCTTCGGCGGATGATGGTGGCGGAAAGTCATCCAAACCTGATCTCACTATCGCCGCAAAGGCAGGCATAGGCGTGGGCGTCGCTATCGCCGCTATTCTGATCGTTGTCGCCGGACTCGTACTGTACAGGAGATACGTTCGCAAGAAGGCGAAGCTCGACCGTATGGCTGCTTTACAGAACGAACAACCTGAACTCGTTCAGACACGCGCTGGATAGCTGCACCTGAGCGACGGCAAGTTTATCCGAAGACTTCCGTATCCCTACATCGAGATAATGCAGCTACAGGTGACATTTCTCTTTTCAGCATTGCCAAGGGTGGGTGGGGGAGGCGGAGGGGAGGAGGAGGGGTGGTGGCGGATGTTCACTCTGCTTTTAAGGTTTAACAAGAGCAGGAACATCGCGATAGCCACATGATCCCCTCCACTGCACCCACTGCTCCTTTTTAGTCACGAACGGTAGTCCGACTCCGACGTCCCTTCAGCTTGTTGATGGGGATTTATCGACACTCTACTATTTTATCCTGTAGCGCTGTAAGCTATCATATCTATAGTCCGGGTTGCATTTCTTTCCAGCTTTCGGTACAGTCCTTTGTACTTAGCAACTCGCTGCCAGACGCGGCGGAACCAGGATCGAGGCTGCGGGAACTGGATGCGGCACGGTTCTGATCACAAAACAGTAACCAATAGTAGCCACTTGCCGCAGATTATGTTCCTTGCGCGTATGCGGCACAGCTACTCCCGCAAATTGCCTCCTATGCAAGGGGCACAAACGCGCTTTGCGACGCGTTGGCCGATCGGTTCTTGTTATAGAGGCTGGCATCACCGACGCGTTGTGATTAAAACAGCGGATCCCTACAAAGGCTGCTAGCCCAGAGTGCTATCGTCAATCCCATACCGCATTTTCTTCCATTATTCTGTCCGCAAATCCCCCCTCATGGCAGGTCTCGAGACTGCTACCCTCACGATCAAAACGGTACCACCAGGGAAGTTCTTTCCGACGACACCGCCGGGATTTCTGAACACATCGACTTGGGAGCCACTCACGACGCCTTTTACGCCCCCAACCTCCGTCTGCGCCTACAGCTGGTTCATCAACATCTCAGGCGACACAAGAACTGTTGTGGATTATGCACCCAGTAAAACCTGTTGGCCTGGCGCACAGGATACGCACAGCCCCGGTACAGTCCTCAGTGACTACCACATCGTGAACGTAGTCGAGTATAGAACACCAGGTTGGACATCAGGCGGGCTTCGCGTATGGGGAGCCGCCTGCTGCAGAAGGTACGTCTTAGTGTGATCCTGGCGAGCGGCTACATACAAAGTAGTCCTAGCTGCGCCAACCGCACTTTTGCTAACAATGATCACAGCGGTTGGACGAACATAGAAACCGCCGAAAGTCTCTACAGTTGCATCTCAATCTTCACTTCACCGATTACTGCGTGGGATGGATGGGCCGGTGATAACCGTGATCCAAAAACCACCTCTACCATACTCAGTAGTGGAACCGCGAGATCCAACTATATGAGCATATACTGGATGGAATCCGACCTTTCGAAATTCGATCCCGAGTATGCAGCGACCCTGAAGGAGAAGTTCGGCATCGGCTTCACGCCCTCTGCGACGATGGTTATCACAAGCGAGACAGCGTCACCGCCAGCTCGAACCCAACTCACCTCAGCGACATCATCAGCGGTTCCAGGTTCTCAAGGTACTTCGGCTGCTGATAGCTCGGGATCTGGACTCGATACTGGCGCTAAGGCTGGCATTGGTGTGGGCGTCGCTATGGCGGCAATACTGATGGGTGTCGCTGGGTTTCTAATGTACAAGAAACGAGTGCAGAAGCAATGGGCTGTTCAACAGAAGTTCGCGAAGCAAAATGAGCAGCCGGAGTTTATCCCGAGGCAGAGGGCATAGTCGGCGAAGTGGACGAGTTACGCCGCCCCTGCTGGCAGGCAATCGGAACCATGAGCAACAGCTGCCCGAGTGTAATGGATATGTGTACCAATACGATCAAAGGAGCATGATGTTGATTTTGGGTGTGTGTGGCGGAGATGATGGAAGGGCGATGTGGTAGGAATGAACGTTCTCTCTACAACTCGTACGTAATGTGCATCTACTTGCGATACGTAGTCTGCTAAAATTGTAATGCACAGCAAGAGTCGTGCTATCGAGGCTCGCAGGCGACATCGTGTTCCGTAACATTGGCTAATTCCGCATGGAGTAGCTCCTTGTGGCCTTTCCCACGCTTTGCCAACTGGCGTTGTCCTGTCAGGGTCCAACAATATCGAACGCAATATTTCTGGACAAAGACGTAGCACGGCCCTCAAAGCCTAAACCCTGCACAGATGTGGCACAGCTCCCTTCGCGAATCAGATGCGGCTTATTGAGCCACTACGCATGGGATAGCCGTGTTCTTTTACGCATTTGGAACGTTGCTACCGACGCGTTATGGTCAATGTATCCAACCCTGCCAAACACTCGACTTTTGTTGGCTACAAATCCCACGTTCGTTCGGAGTCTGCTATCCACCGACTTGCTAGCATGGCAAACATCGATGATGCCATTCTTTCCGTCTTTACAGTATCAGGAAGCCAATATCCACTAGTAAACACACTCAGTACTCTCCCGCCGCTCACCACTCCCTTCACTTTCAACCCGACGTGTACCGAAGGCACAAACTATCAGCAACCGGATCAACCCAGCCATGTCCACAACTTCATTCCTCTCTACTGTCAGCCCGATACCACCATGACGCATAGCCCGGGCACATGTATTAGTGGGTATCAGATGAAGCAAATAGTCGAGTTCAGAACGCCGGACTGGACTTTGGGCGGATTAAGGGCATGGGGAGCTGCTTGTTGTAGAGAGTACGTGTGATATACGGCTGTCAAGGCGATTACCTCGGATATACGCTTGGTCTGGCCTTGACTGGATTGCTCTTGCTAATACCCTCGATAGTGGTTATATGGCAACGGCATCCGACGCAACGGATTGTCTATCAGCCATCGATGCGCCCATCACCGCGTACACCGTGGCGGACGCGACCTTGCCAACGAATGCCGCTGGGCAGGAAATACCCGAAAAGCCCTCCATCATCTCCAGCGGAACAGTCATCATGCAACCGATGTTAGTCTATTGGCAAGAGTCAGATCTTGTTCACTTCGATTCCGACTACGCGTCTACACTGGCCTCGAAATTCGATATCGGCTTTACACCAACAGAAACACCGGGTCCGGCAACACAAAGACCAAGACTAACGACAGTATCACCGCAATCAGACCCTATAAAACCAACTGCATCACCGCTAGATCAAACCCAACCGCCCTCGGTAACATCGTCACCAGCTGCAACAAGCTCCGCAGCACCTACTAGCCCCTCAAAACCAGGCCTCAGTACGGGTGCGAAAGCAGGCATAGGATCAGCCGCAGTCGTTGCAGCGATACTACTATTAGTCGCCATTGGATTTGTACTATATAAGAGATGGCTCCATAACAAGGCAGGACTGGACGGGAAAGCTGCTGAATTGAATGAACAGCCGGAGTTTTTGGATGCGGATCTGGTGCGTTGGAGAAGAGACAAGGGAACGTGGTTGTGAGCGCGTTTAATATGGATGTGCACGCGTTGCGACGAAGAATAGAAGAGATGAGGCGTTTCCAGCTCGGTTATGTATGCGGAAGTAGGTCGGCGGGGCTTCGCGGATGGGTTGAGATGGGGATGTAAAGATATACAGGCGAACATAAAAGATTTTACTTCTAGTCGCATCTTGCGCGTTTCGGGATATGATCATGTTGATAGTTCATTACAGCAGATTGTGCCTTGATATTTGTCTTCCTTTGTGTCTGGTCGGAACGTAGTTGCGTCATGTGATCGGAAGTCATGCCAACGTCCGCCTTGATATCAAAGCAACAGTAGCTCACCAACCACGTCACTAAGCCCATCGAACCATGCCCGCCGCTACGTGAGACCATGAAAGGCGTCGAATAGCGTGGCATGCATCACCCGCAGCCGTTTAGCGCGCTGATCTCCCGTCGCGGCGTGCGCATCTCCTGATTGGCTACTTTGATACTACGTATTCGGCGTTCTTGTTTGCATAGACATAAACCACGGCAGGCGTTTTGCTCTTCCCGCTGACCATTTTTGTGTTGAAGGTGCTGACTCTGCACACTATTTCGTGATATCGTCTACGTCATCACACGCCTAAACTAAACCGCATTGAGCGCACTACGAGACGCCTTCTGAAAGCGCGAACGACATGGGCTGGAAGCCGTGGAAGCCGCGATACGTAGCTTCAAAACACGGCAATTTGAACACAGTCGCTTCGTTTCCATAGCAGAGAAGCTTTCCTACACACCCTTACGGCACGGTTGCCTTTCTTGTGATTTTCAGCTGCCCACCATGAATTACATCTCAAGTACAGCTCCCCTACTACCACCAACGCACGACCCCAAACTAACACCCCAGACCTCGTTAACTCGGACGACATCATCAACCCCCTCATCGACAATGGATACCTCCCCCACCCGGTCATTCGCGTCGGCATCCGGCGCCAACTCGCCGACCGCCTCACGTCTATCGCCAATACCTCTCTCCAGGCGAGCTATGAGTCCAAGATGAAATACGTGGAGCTACTCCGCGAACGACCCATTGCCATTGAGACCAAGACCGCGAATGAGCAGCATTATGAAGTCGGAACGAGTGTGCTGAAGGGTATGCTGGGCCCGCGGATGAAGTACTCGGCGTGTTTGTACGAGAAAGGTGGGGAGACGTTGGGGGAGGCGGAGGTGAGGATGATGGAGACGTATGTTCAGAGGGCAGGGTTGAAGGATGGGATGACGGTTTTGGATCTGGGGTGAGTTCTCGTCCTTTTCGTTCTTTTCATCCTCTCCTTCATGATTTCGATCATTTCCGCACTAGATCTCGAAGACGGCATACGACGAACACAAGAAATCACGTGCCCATACTAACCCCCCCATCCACAGTTGCGGCTGGGGCTCCCTCTCCCTCTACCTCGCCGAAATCTTCCCCAACAGCCGCATAACCGGTTTCTCCAACTCGCGCACACAGAAACAGCACATCGACTCCGTCGCCGCCTCCAAAGGCTTCAAGAACCTCACGGTTGTAACCGGCGACGTGGTAGACCATGAATTCGAGCCTGAGGTCTACGACCGCGTCCTCTCAATTGAGCTCTTCGAGCACATGAAGAACTATTCTTTGTTGATGGCCAAAGTAAGCCGGGCCTTGAAACCAGGCGGCAAACTCTTCGTGCACATCTTCGCGCACAAGGACACGCCCTACGATTTCGAAGGCGGATGGATGACGGAGCATTTCTTCACGGGAGGTACCATGCCTTCCGCTGACCTTCTCCTCTTCTTCCAGGACGACCTCAAGATTAAGAGACAGTGGTGGGTCAGCGGTATGCACTACAGCAAGACATGTGAGGATTGGTTGACGACCATGTTGAGCAACAAAGAGAGTATTTGGAAGGGGCTTGTGGAGACATATGGCGAGGAGGGGGCGTTGACGTGGTGGAATAGGTGGCAGGTTTTCTATCTTGCTTGTTCGGAGTTGTTTAGGTGGGATGGGGGTGATACGTGGGGGGTTAGTCATTATTTGTTTGAGAAGAAGGGGTAGGGTGGTGGTGGTGGTAGAGGGGGGTGGGGATTGGGAGGGATGGTAGGAGGGTAATGCTTAATTCCACTCTGACAACAGCTTAGTCAATCCCTTGTTGTAATCTGCTAATCATCTCTGGAGGTTCTAGTGGCGCCTTCTACACAGAGACATGTTCGTCCAGAGAGCTGGCATTTCGATGGCTTTCCTACGGCAATGTAGTGCAAACTTACATGTTGCAAGAAGAAAGTTAGGTGGAAGATAGTTACTCTGGAGAGAAGGGAAATGATGTTATAAACTTGGAAACGAAGCTAGGTGACGGTGAGGTTCAAGAGGGAGAAGCCCAAGTCTTTGTTCCTAGGGATGTCAGAATGGATGTACATTGGAGTCTGAGTCTGACTAACTTAACAATGTGGCGCCCTTGAGTGCCGTATCTTTATTCACCAGTAGGCACGCTTTCATCTTGCCCTCCCAGTCTCACACTTCTGAGGAGAACTGATACATCTCTACAGCGCGGCTCTAACATTGCCCTCCCTCTCAATCTGCTCCTGATCCATAATGATTACACCCTTCCCCTTCATTGTCCCGCCATGCGCCAACTCCACCAACTCCGCAATCTGGTCCAGCCCTTGGAACGCACACGTCTCCACCGTAATCCCATGCTTAGCAACCAACCCCAACATATGTCTTGCCTCCTCCAGGTTCGCAACCGCCGACCCCCTGACCCTAATGTCCCTCAAGATAAGTTCATGGAACGGAATAACCACACCATCCGGCTGCGCAAGCTGAACCATCGTCCCATGCATCTTCGTCACCGCACAAGCCAATGCAGCCGCCTCCTTCGCATCGCTAACGTTCAGGGTAGCTTCGACGCCCTCATTCCCTGTGCAAGCACGCACGGTCTTTACCACCTCTTCCAGCCCCGTCCTCGCATCAATAGTAACATCCGCACCGCACAACCGTGTAAGTTCCAACCCCTCATCCCTCGCATCAATCCCAACAACATTCAATCCCATGGCTTTTGCAAACTTCACTCCGAGATGGCCCAAACCGCCTCCACTACCTACGATGGCAATCCACCCCCCTTTGCGCACAGCCGATAAGACAATTCCGCGATAAACAGTCACGCCCGCACAAGCCAGCGGCGCCGCAGTAAGAAACGAAACTTTACTCGGTACCTTTGCCGTTTGTCGCGCATCGATCTTCGCGTACTGAGCGAAGAATCCATGGGTCGTTATACCAAGGAAACCACCAGTATTCTGGCAGTACTGCGGACATGCTGATGCGTGTGGTCCTCCTTTACACTCAGCGCATGTACCGCAGGCGTCGTACAGAATACCAGCCATCACGCGGTCGCCGACTGCGAACTGCGTTACAGACGTGCCAGTCGCTACGACGGTGCCTGCGCCCTCGTGGGAGCCGGTGCAGGGAAGTGGTGTGCCCATTGCGCCTGAAGAGACCATGAAGTCTGTGTGGCAGAGGGAGGCGACGGCGACTTTGACGAGGAGATCGTGCGGTGCAAGTTTTGATGGGACGGAGATTTCGCGCACCTTATAGGGTTCGTTGAAGGAGATGACTTGTGCGGCCCACATTTTGGACGGGAGGGAGGGCTTCGTCATGGTGTTTATAGATTGTCTTTTCCGGGGAATCTGGGCCTGCCAGCTTGATTTGAAGGATGGCTTGCTTGGTGGCGATTAGCTTTATGGGCGTTGAGCTGTAACAAAATAGGTGTAGGTTCAATCGATGTGTGGTTACGAAGTTTAGAGGTTGAGATATGATGTTGTTGGAGACCTCGGGAGGGGTAAGTGGTGATGGCGTATATCTTTATCCGGCGCATTCTATCTAGCAAGCGCTATCTAGTATATGTGTAGAACGACAGAAAGTACGAGATCACGACCAGAGACGTCATAGGATGTACCAGCAATGTAAAACCAACTTCGACCTCAAATTGTACACAAACGCGATTATACTACAAGTCTATGAATTACCGAATCAACCCAAAACCCTACCAGCAGTAGAAGCTGTGCTCCTGTCCTTGGTCTCCACCTTCCTCAATCCCTTACCAGCAGTGATCTCACCGAGTAAAGCTCCACGGTTCGGTGCTCCACCTGGAGCCTTCATGCTAGGCATTGGGGGTGGCGGTGGTGCTCCACCAGCCGGAGGTGGTGGTGGGCCAGGTGGAGGCGGAGGTGCACCGTTCGAGGGCATCGGAGGAGGTGGTGGGATGCCTGCTGGAGGCGATGTCACAGCTGGGCTCTCCGCACGTGGGCTCTTGTTGTCCATGGAAGAAAGAGGGCGCGGTGGCGCCATGGTACCGAACAACATGGAGGCCAGCTGCTTGGCTCCACCTTGAGTAGGCGCTTCGTCGTCGTCGGACGAATCATCATCTGAGTCAACAACGGACCAGTCATCGTCGTCCTGCCTTCCCAACCTGCGCGCTGAAGGTGCGGCGGGCTCATTGAACGTAGGCATGGCAGCCTTGTTGGCATTCTCTTGTGTCAGACGGTGGAAAGGGTTCGTGGAAACCTCGCTCGTGTTGCTAGGTGGCGGCGGAGGTGTGGAGACTGTGCTGTTCTCCTGGTTGGACATGGCCATCTTCTTCAAGAATGGGTTCTTGGTTTCAGTGTCGCCCATGCCAGGGTGAGGACTAGTCACCGAGGACGTAGGCGGGCTGGCGATAGATGAGGGTGGTGTGTTGTGCGAGATCTGGGGCATTGGTGGCGCTTGAGGAGGTGCAGTGTCACGCGGCAACTCCTGGCTGGCGGTAGGGGTGGTGTCTTGAGGCGTGATGTTCTGCGGGCCGTCATCATCCGACGACTCGTCATCGTCGAGCGCCTCAAGCTGCATCTGTAGTTGACGTTCGCGTTCACGCGCAGCTTCAATCTCTGCACGCTGAGCAGCCAGTCGGGACTCCTTCTCCTTGGCGTCCTTGGAAGCAGCCGCTCTGCGCTTTTTCTCTTCGGCCTTCTTGAGTTTGCCCTGCTGGACTTGCTCTTCCAGGGCGCGAAGTCTGGCTGAAGCAGACTCTCGCTCCTTGGCCAATTCGTCCTCTTGTCTGCGTTCCTCATCCCTGACGTTTGTTAGCGTAATTTCAAGAGATAGATCGAGGTATACGTACTCCATGCGCTTCGTCTCGGCTTCTTGGGCCTCCTGCTGTTCGCGGATAGCCTTCTCAGCCATGTCGTTATCTGCCTTCTTCGACTCTGCTTCCGCTTGCTGAACGTCGTGCTGCGCAACCTCGTTCTTGTTCTTGCGCGAGGCCGGCGGTGGGGGTGCTGGCTTCTTGCCACTGCTCTTGGATGGAGCGGGTGGTGCAGCGGATTCGTCGTTAAGACGTCTTTGACGCTCTTCCTCGCGACGCGCATCCTCTTCTTCAGCCTGGCGTAGCTTCTCTTCACGCTCCTTCTTCTCCCGATCGGCACGTTGTTGGGGTGTCTCACCAGCCTTTACTGGAGCTTTAATGCCCAGAGCAGCGAGACGCTCAGCCATTCGCTGCTCAGCCTGCTGTTTGATGAAGGCCACACGTTCCTCTGGAGTCTTGTATGCAGAGTACGAGCCGCCAGCAGGCGTAGTTGTTGATGCGCGAGGAGGGGGCTCGACACGACCAGCCGGACTCTCATAGCGTGATGACGATGGTCGGTTGTCCTCTACACGAGCAGCTGATCTAGACCTGTAGTTGTCGCGAGATGAACTGTACGGAATTAGCATGATGCCTCTTGATACTAATCGAATAATACTTACTCGTCTTTGCGGATACGCGAAGCGCGACTGCTGCGCTGTAGATCAAAGATGAAGTCCTTAACGTCATCTTCAACGCCCAGAGCCTCCTCCCATCTACGACGTTCGTGTTCGCTTGTGTTGTCGTGTCCTCCTTCTTTCAGGCTCGACTCCAGACCCCTTGTGTATTCATTCACGCTGTCTTCGACGTCGCGGATCATGCGCTCATTGTTTTCTCTTTCTGCTCGGATGCGCGAAGTCTCCTTCTCCAAGCGCTCAGTTGCTGCGCCCGTGTCGTCACTGGCAGGGGCAGGCCTTCCTGTCAAGGCAGCAGAGCGTGCTTGCATCATAGCCTTGGCGCGGGCTTTCAAGCGATCCGATTCAGTTACTGCACCGCCAGGTCCAGTGCCCACGATGGTGGATGCAGATCCGGGATGCGCTTTGGCGTCTCTGAGTCTAAAGAGTTCGAGCTGGGCGTCTGCGATTTCACGCTCAGTCCGGCGCACGTTGGACGCGAGTTCAGGCAGGCGATCAGTCAAGGTCTGGAGTTGGCGCTTCAGGGCACGACGCTCCGCATCCGAGTCAGTTGATCTCAACGAAGCCTTAGGGTGAGCATCAATGTCTTCTTGCACCCTGCGAATGCGGCGATAGAGATCTTCAGCCTCTCGGCGATCTCGACGATCGAGCGCATCGTCTTCGTCAGCGGCGTTCTCGTCTTGTGTGTCCATGGCATCCAACAAGATCTGCTTCTCTTTGACAGACTTCCTGAGCTGGTCAAGGGACATTTCATCAGACCGCTCAGAGGATGGTGAAGCCGGCTGCGCTGGTGAAGGTGAGCGACCACCACCTCCAAGGCGATGTCTAGCGCTCGACTTGTAGCCTACGTTATCGTCATTGTTACGGAATACCGTAGCATCCTTTCGGCCACCAGCTTGTGGGCTACCAGCACGGAACGAGTGGGACTTCAGGTAGCTGACGCCAGTGCGCTGGGGCTGGAGGAAGGCACCAGAGTTCTTCCTGTCCTCGGCATCTCCACGCAGCAAGTTCTTCATTGCACCAATAGAGTCGTTGATGTTGCGCGTGGAAGGGGGGACCAACTCCGGGGGGAGACGGGCTGGAATGGGGTAGCCGTTGAGCTTACGGTAGATCAAATGCATAGCAACGGCGAATTGGTCCAAATCAAGACGACCCCTATCAGCAGAATCGGCAAGTGTCCATATGCGCTCCAAATCTGGCTTGGGCAATCCACTCTGTCCAAAGATTTCAAGAGCTTGAGCTCCGCTAATGTAACCCTTGGTCATGCCGTCCCAGGCCTTGAAGGTGTCATCGTACAGCTTCTTCTCTCCCTTTGTAATAGCCCACGGAATGGTCGCGTTGCCGGTCAAACCAGCAGTCGTATGGTTGCCGCCCTCTCGGCCCGTCTGGGGCATCATTCGTTGCGCCAAAGCCTCGATGTTTGGTAGCCCGGTGGCGGGGGTGTTTGCTAGGCCCCATTGACCAGGCATGCCCGTCGGCTGAGCATTGAGAGGAGCCATGCCGGTCTGGTTGGGTGCGAGATTTGAGCCGAATCCAGTGGGCATAGGAGGCATCGGCGGACGTGGTCCGTTGTAACCGCCTGGAGCCTGCCCGAAGCCAGTGGGCTGTGGCTGCATACCCGTAGGCTGCTGACCGAAACCGGTAGGCTGTGGTTGCATGCCTGTTGGTTGCTGTCCGAATCCAGTCGGCTGTGGGGCTAAAGAGCCCAGCAACTGGCTGTTTGAAGGTTGTGGCTGCGGCTGCTGAATTGTAGGAGGCTCGTTGAACTTGGGGGCGTTGGTGGCCGGCGTTTGGCGGTTCGACGATTCGTCCACGACTCCAAATGAAATAATGTCCACCATGCTAGAGACCTCATTCTTGACTCGCTCGGGAAGGGAGTTGGGCAGATCCTTTCCGGTCAGCTTGAGATTGCACAAGTACATGGCGAGGGCGAATTCGGGGAAGAGGAGCTGGCCAGACTTGGTCGTGTCCGCAAGGGTCCTGCATCTGTTAGAATGGGGCCACGTATGCGATTCGTGCAACATACCAGATGTGCGAAAGCGCGTCCCCAGATAGCTTGGAGCGCATCAGGAGATCCCGCGCCTGGTCGCCAGACAGGGCCTGGGAGTCTCCCACGGCCGACTTGAACAGCTGCTCGAACTTGGCCTGGTCTTGCGCCGTGATGAAGGAAAGCCTTATGCTCGGGATTTTGCTGCTCTTGGCCGGGACGGGCGGTGGCACGGAAGACGCAGAGTTGCCGCGGAATGAATCAGCCATCTGCGCCGATGTCATACCCGTGGGCTGCGGCCGCTGCGGTTGGGCAGGCGGTTGCTGCTGCTGCTGCTGCGGCGGCGCGCCAGTCTGGAAGGGTATCTGCTGGGGAGCCTGCTGCTGCTGGAATTGCTGGCCCTGCTGCCCTGGGAAGCCCGTGTACTGCGGTTGCTGCGGTTGCGGCTGCTGTCCGAAGCCCTGCGGCTGGCCCGGGAAGCCAGTAAACTGCTGTTGCATTGGTTGCATTGGCCCTCCTCCGAAGCCCGTCGGCTGAGGTGCCAGTCCGCCCTGGAAGCCGCCGGGCTGCTGGAAGGGCTGCTGTTGCTGCTGCTGCCCATACTGAGGCTGCCCCGGTCGGGCACTGTTCCCACCCCCTAAGTACGAGTTGGACCCAGAGAACATGGTGGGCGAGGTGGCGCGGGTCGATTAGAAAAGGAGAGATGCGCGCATGCGGTGGGAGAATTAGAAAGGTCTAAGGAGTGCGCGCGAGCGGGAATGGTGAAAGGTGGAATGGGGTTGGTTGCGAGTCTGTGCAGCTCGCAGCCCTGGAGATCCATGGGTAGGTTCGCGCTAAGGTCCGTCAGTCGTCATCTTCGAGGACGCGCTTGCCTCCTCGGCAACGGGCGCCCGCCATTCACGACTTCCTGCACCATCTCCACAATGTCGAATGCCCAGAACGGAACAGGCGCTGGCCCGCAGTCACAGGCCGAACTCGCCCAGGTAAGTTGGCGGAAGTCCCTCTGTTCTGAGTGTTAACAGCTCTGGTAGGCGTTCAAGGACCTGCAGCGAGGCGAACAGACTGCCGCCGCCTTGGAGAACCACCTCGATTCGATCGAAAAGCAGATCGAGGCGCTTTTGGCCCAGGCTGAGAAGGCGGAGCAGGAACTGAAAAATACTCCGGAAGAGGACGAGAAGCCTTCCAGCGAAGAAAAGGGCTCTTCATAATGTCTACCCAGAATGCGCCTGCTATAAGATGTATGCGACATACGCTCGGATATACTTTCTAGAGAGATGAGAAAGACGCCACATAACATACGCGCATCACGAACGACGGACACGAGTTTGACGAGCATTTCGGTCGTGGTTGGCGAGGCAGGACATAAGCATTTATCATGCGCTATTAGCAGAGGAGACAGTTCCAATGATGGATTGATGGAGGACGATCTGCGCTTCCAAATATCCTAAACACTTGTCTATAAGCCACCAACAGTCGAAGGCTTCACTTCGGAACCCTGCGTCCTGAAGACCTCGTCCAAATGGAATACACCATTGCTGTCCTTCTCAACCACGCCTACCTCGGTGATGATGCCATCAATGAGCTCTGCAGGTGTGACATCGAAGGCTGGGTTCCACACACCGATGCCATTTGCCGCAATGCTGATAGTTTCGACGACACCCAGATCTAGCGTAACACCGTCGTGTCTAGGTCCTTTGACAAGGGTCACTTCCTGTCCGGGGCGTTCTTCGATGACGATGTCGGCCCCCGATTTGGTCTTCAGGTCGATAGTAGTTCTTGGTGCGGCAACGAGGAACTTGACACCGTGATGCTTTGCAAGAATGGCCAATGAATAAGTTCCAATTTTGTTGGCGGTGTCACCGTTCGCAGCCACCCGGTCGGCTCCAACCACGATACCCGCGATGTTCTCGCTCTCACCGCGTAGTCGAAGTAGCGCTGCCGCCATGGAGTCAGTGATGAGAGTTGCCGGTATCTTGTCGTGAACCAATTCGAACGCAGTCAGCCTAGAGCCCTGGTTGTATGGTCGTGTCTCAGAACAGAAAGCGTGCTTCAAAGATCCATTGCCGTACAGTGAGCGGATTACACCAAGCGCTGTGCCATATCCAGCAGTTGCGAGAGACCTGTAGGATTAGCCGCTGGATGTTGATGATGCAGAATGGTACAAACCCTGTGTTGCAGTGCGTCATCATGCTCACAGGTCCCTTCTTTCCTGCTTCCGTGTTCTTGACTATCCACTCTGCGCCATGCTTGCCGATACTCTCGTTATCGCTCACATCGTCAACCAGCATCTTCTCCGCAGCAGCCACGTACGCATCTCTCACGGCTTCTCCACTCGCTCCCTCAGTTGCAGCAGCTTCCTTGGTAATCTTTCGAAGTTTGCCTGCTGCATCTGCAAGGTTGACGGCAGTTGGTCGGCTGGTCACAAGGTAGTCCAGCTTTTCTGTAATGAAGATCTCGACCTCCTCAGCTACCGAGGAGAGCTTCATGTTGGTGAGTTCAACTGCGAGGGCGAGAGCAGCGACTATGGCGATGGCCGGTGCACCTCGCGTCCGCATCTCTTTGATGGCGTGCCATGCATCAGTGCTGGAGTAGATATGGTCATATTCTTCGGTATGCGGTAATTTCAGCTGGTCCAGAATCTCGAGCTGGCCTCGTGAGTATTTAATCGCCTGGAGTACCATTTTGAAGGTTTCGTAGAATGGTGTGTCACTTGAATGCGTGGCAGAAAATTTCTGGATGGTGAGCGTTGGGTGTCAACAGCCCCATCGCGGACCCTGACGCTAACACGTGGGAGCTGCTCAACCCAGGCATGCGCGCGGCCTCATCTGAGTTACACGACATACCCGGACAAAACATACACGGCCCACCACCTGGGACCGATGCATCGCTGCTACTCCACGATCCGTAACTCTCGACGCTTCGGCATGACGGCACGCGATGACGAAATTTAGCCACGTGTGGCTCGGTGCCAAGGCTAGCTCCAGCCACCAAGCAACGCACCTGCCGGTATAGGCCACGGCCTCGCTGTTCTAGCCGGACCAACATGAGCTGGCCGGTATTGATAATCCACATGCATCGAGTAACGGTCTGTATTAAAGGAGGCGCACATGAATTCTGCAAGGAAGCCTTTCATCTTCGCTCGAAAGTACCGCATTGCAGCCCTACGAGAGCCGCAAAAAAAGGGTCCGTCAGCTGCAAGGAACCGGCAGTGAATTGACCGCGGTTGTCCCATGACGACGCCAACACTCGGACTTCACGCATATACCTACGGCCCTCTGCGCCCAATTGCTCCTCCGCACCTCCGCTTCCGCTCACCCTCTAGATATCCCTAGTTGTTCGTCGCATAAGAACTGTGTTGTCCAACCAAGACGTTTTCGGTAACCACGCCCGTCTCTAGTTCTTCCCGATAGGCGGAGAAAAAGACCCACATCCTCACTATTTATCTTCCCCAACACCACACGCAGCGCAAGCCACCCAGCCAGAGAACATTACTGTGCACATGCGCAGACCAACCAATCGCCGCATCCTACATCGCCTTACCTCGCCGTGCCTTACTGGACCCTCGTAGTTTGGGCCCGAAATCGATTGGAAGGTCAGACGAGAGAAATCGCCACGCCTCGAACAACCCCGCGCAGCTTTGCGCCAGTTATATAACGATGCCCCTCATGCCGCGCTCCAACTCGAGCGTTGGGGTAAGCACCGCAGTCATGGCCTCCCAGGAAGAGCCCATACAGCCCTCGTACCGAGGCTACGGCACAATGGCTTCCCAGCGACCTGCGCAACGCCAAAGACGACACTCATGGCACACACGCCCCTGCATGCAGGAAGCAGAGAACTTCCAGGTCTTGGTAAGTTATACAGCGCACATGCGCTCAACAGTCTGCTAACAACGGCAGCTTCGTAACTTTCTCGTCGAACTTAACTGCCGCATGGACTTTCTGGAAGACTATGGCCACCTCAAATACGATGCCGGAGTCGAATACGCATACAACACACTGCTCGCCGTCCGCGAATCCTGCTCGAAAATGTCCGACGGCGCAATCGAGGCCGGACGGCGGCAGGCTTCTGTCTTCGTCGAGACCTTGGAGGGACGATACAAAGATGCAATGGAACGGAAGGAGACATTCGGGGAGAAAGTCCTGGAAGGAATAGTGCTCATGGACAACTACCTGACCGAGTTTGAGACGCGCGCATATGCTATAAGAGACGGATCCATCGGCTCCTATGCGCAAGAAGTCTATGAGGAAGGTCGGAGAAAGATGGACGAGGGAATTGAAATTGCAAAGGGCGTGGTAGACGGCGGTCTCGACAAGGCACGACGCGCGCGTGAAACGATCGAACTCCGAGTTGAGCACGCTGTGCAACAAGCCCTAGAGCGAGCAAAGGCACATGGCCTGATACGCTACGACGACCTGCCCGAGCCATGGCGAGTCAACCCACATATCCTCAAAGGCTACCGCTTCCAAGAAGGAAAGTGGGCTTGCGTCCGATCCATCTTCGGCCTTCACAACGAGCTGATTAATATCTGGACACACCTCCTCGGATTCATCATGGTCCTCGCCATTGCCTTTTACTTCTATCCTTCGAGCACCAACTTCAGCATGTCGACAAAAGCCGATATCTTCATAGCAGCAGTCTTCTTCTTTGCGGCATGCAAGTGTCTGGCCTGCTCGACCATCTGGCACACCATGAACAGCATCTCGCACCAAACGCTTCTCGAGCGCTTCGCCTGCGTAGACTACACGGGCATTTCCCTCCTCGTCGCCGCATCCATCATGACGACCGAATACGCCGCCTTCTACTGCGAGCCCGTCTCGCGCTGGTCCTACATGTGCATAACAGCACTGCTCGGCATCGGCGGCGTCATCCTGCCCTGGCACCCAACCTTCAACCGAGCCGACATGGCCTGGTTCCGCGTCCTGTTCTACTGTTCCCTCGCCCTGACCGGCTTCTTGCCTTTTGGCCAGCTCGCCTACACCCGTGGCCTCGAGTGGGCGCAGTACTTCTACGCGCCCATCACTAAGAGTCTACTTGTATACGTTACCGGTGCGTTGCTGTACGCGAGCAAGACGCCTGAGCGCTTCTTCCCCGGTCTGTTCGATTACGTGGGCTGCTCGCACAACATCTGGCATGTTGCTGTGCTGGGAGGTATCATCTTCCATTACATGGCTATGCAGACTATGTTTACGCAGGCTCTTACGAGGGCTCAGACTAGCTGCTCTGTGTACTAGGAGCATCTTCTCATGACGCCTTTCTCCATACCTCTTACTTATCCTTTCTCTTCTTCCCCTTCTTCTTGTGGAGCGTTCGGCATTGTGGAGCGAGTTGGTTGTTTGCATTGGGTAGGCGTCTGACCTATAGATGTTGAGATGGTGGGTAGATGAGAAGGGTCCGGTCGGCGGATGCCATGCGGGACGCTGTATCTGAACTCATATAGACTGTCGATAATTACTACATCATGAATCCCTGAACATTCATCCCAAATTCCGCCTAACAATGTGCACCTTTTGTACGAGCCATTCATTTCTGCACCTGTAACCTTTGAATCAGACACAACACGCCGGGTCTAATGTATGCCTTTCGTCATTATGACTCCCAAATGCTTCTCTAGATAAAACTACCTACCTAACAATCCCTAAACGCCATTCGCTATGCAGACAACCCATTTTGGCCCTACGCGCATCCCCATCTAATGACTATCCGGCACATCCGGCAACCTCTCAATAACATACTTCCCCTTCGCCACACTCACAATCGGTACACCAGGAATCTTCCTAATCCTCCTCTTAAGATCCCTATCATTCGTCGCCACCAGATAAATCCTATGCTTCTGCACGCGATCCACAATACAGTCGTCCGCATACGTGCCCTTGTGCTCGCACTTGAGCCGCTGCCAGCGCTCGTCGCGCGCTATGCGCAGCGCGATGCGGTATTTTGGACCGAGTTTCTCGAGCTCGGCCATGACGCAGGTGGTTATTATGGGTGTGGCTTTTGCGTATAAGAGGTCCATGAGCGCTTTGTCGAGCTCGAGCTTGGCGTGCACGGTGTGCGAGAGGAAGTTTGTGTCGACGAGGACGGAGTAGGGGGGGCCGAGGGCGGTGTTGGCTTGGAAGAAGAGGGCGGAGGAGACTTGGGGGCTGGATGGGGGGGTTAGTTGAGAGTCGAAAGTGCTGATCACGCTCAGCAGGCCATTTTTTGTGTCTGGAGCTTACATTTCTCGCTTTGCCTTGTTTTCTTCCTCTTTCTTCTTTGCTTCTAGCTCGCCGGCCATTTGGTTCTTCTTGCTGGTGTGGTGTTAGTGCTTCTGGAGCGAATGGTAGTGGAGCGCGTAGTCGCATACAGTCGTGCATCTCGTTGGCCTGGGTACATTAGTGGGAGCTCATCCAGAACATATGCTGACCATACCAACTATCCTCTTGGTTTGCGCAAACTTGCGCGTCTTCTTCTGGACTCCCATAATTGCTGAGTGCTAGGACTCTTCCGTTTGCGCGCGAGCTCTGTCGATGTGTGAAAGTCTTCTACAGGTTTCTGTGCGGCAGGCGATTTAGCTTGTTCGTCGTGATAGCTTGCGCAGGGTCGTGATTGGGCGTGTCGTGGTGGTGAATGTTCGCATACCACTTTTGCTATCGATAACGCGGGCAACTTTTTGATGCCAAGACATTCAAAGTCGTCGGAGCTCTTCATGGCCAACGCACCGATTGGAGGAACGACGGCTGCGCTAAGCCCTAAACACGAGGGTCACGCAGGTCCCAGAATAGCAGCAGCGTTCCTGGTAGGAGGATCTGTCAACGCTGGCCCTGCATACAGGCCGTGTTTTTCCTGCATCCCTGAGCCAGCAACGAGGTGCAGACGTCAACAGTCGGCTGCTCTGAAGAGGCCTGACACGCGGACGACTCGATCATCGCGAAGAAAGCCCCAGTTTCCATTACTACGCTTTTCGATTTTCGATAAATGCCCATCGCTAGTCTGCGGCCACCCACACATCACGCGAACGGGGCGCTCAGACTGCGCGTATTTGCCCAGCGGGTCCTCGACTCCGCCCCTTGTTACCCTGACCCCGTATCCGTCTTGCACTCCACCATCAGCATTTCCTCTCGTTCCCCGTCACTCGTTTCGGCGCTTCTCTGTCCTATCGATATCCCCAGCGACTGCATCCCCTCGTCGTTTCACTGCTTTTCTTTCACCAAACGATTCCTGAAACACGTCTGTTGGAGTACACGAGCCTTGAACACCGGGTCTCCTGAGCCCTTTCGAAGACTGCCCAACGGCAACCCTACCTCCGCACACACCTATACACCACAACCACGATGCGGCCTTCCGTCGGCTTCGTGGGGCTGCTGCTCGTAGTCGCACCCACAGTCCTCGCCCAGATCGAGAACGCACCCGAACTCAACACCGTCGCGCCCGGAGGCGACGCGGCGACGAACACAGCCGAGACCTCCGCCGCCGAGACAACACAAACAGCGACAACGAACGCTGACGAGACTGCTGCCACATCACAAGCCGCCACCACGGAAACCACCGAGGCGGCAACCACTGCTGATGCGCCCACCAGCGCGGCCGCCCAGACAGGGTCTACAAGTGTCTTCAACCTCGTGGGCGCACCAACACTGGCTGGTGTCGGTATCCCAGACATCAAAGTCCCAGACACAGCCGGCGCTGCCTTTATGCAAAAGTCCGATCTCCCCGATGGAACCGTCTTCATATGTGTTGGTGCTATCCTTGCCTTCTTCGGTGCGGCAGTGCTGGCGTGGCGCGGCCTCGTTGCGTGGTCGTTGCATCGTTCCGTGAAGCGGGCGGCCATGGCCCAAAACCTGGCTGATATCAAGGCCATGTCAGCAGTGCCTGGCAAGAAGCGGGGGATGTACAATGTAGTAGGAGCAAGTTCGACCATGTCCCTGGATCACCTGAACGCCGCCCCCATTGGCAAGTCAAACAAGGCCTTCAAGGGCGCGGCTGCCAACACAGCACAGCAATCGCAATCGTCTCTCTTCTTCTCTCCAACCGCAGGTGGCGCCGCCGGTATGCGAGATTCGGTCCACGTAGCAGGGAACCGATCCTCCACCTACCTTCCCGCAGGATACTACGCCTCTGGCAACGCAGCACCCGCCGCCGGATCACCACAAATGCACATTGGCAGCCAGAACCCCAACAATCTTTCTGCCCTCTCCCTCTCCACACCCGGAAACCGGTTCAGCGCGAGGTCCGGCATGTCGCCACCAGAATCGCCATCACTCCCTCCATCGCGAGGAGGCTACGCCCGCGCACCACCATCACGAGACGGCCTCTCCAACTACAACCGCAACAGCGTCGCAACCCTCGGCCACCAACCCGGCACCACAAGAAGCCCCGTCTACGGCCAGGACAACAACACCGTCAGCCAATTATCGCTCAATGTACCGGGTGGCACGACTGTGCCTGGTGGCCGCACGCCGAGTGGATACCTAGACGATCTCTTTGAAAACCACGGCAACGGGTCCAGAGAACGATTCTAGTTGGATCTCGAACAGCAGCCCGCAAAGCAGCGTGCCGTGAGCGCGGGAGATTGTTCGCTGAAAAGCAGTCCGTCGCCCGGTTATCGTTTCTCGTATAAGCCGGGTGTGGTGGTGAGCGCTAGAGCCGTGTCTGCGAGCACGATATCCATAATAGAAGATTACTACCGGGTATGAATTGTGCGAGATGACCAGAATGGCAAGAACGCGTTCTCGAGGTTGTTGTTGTCGAAAGTCAGAGAAAGAGAGAGGAAAGGAAGAAGCCGGAAAAGAGCGGTCTTGTCTTGTTGAACATCTCTTTGCTCATGCATGCCCATTTTCGCGTGTGCACGTTTTTTCTCGTTTTCTTGCTTTTGGGGTTCACGGCCGCAAGCTTGTGATACCAACATTATGCCGGTTTTGGCTTTTCTTTTTCTTCTTCGTTCGATACATTCGACTCTTGTGGTACTGTCGGGGGATTTCTTCGCCGAGTCTACCCCATCTGCCGTCTTTTACTATCTTCTCTTTTTTATTATCATGGTTTCTCTTGTTACGAATGTAGGGTAGTGAAGCTCCTCCGCTTTTACTGGAGTTAGACAGGCGTTACAAAGAATCTGCGAAGGGGAGCATGCATCAGTCTCTAGCCGTTTAGCCATGGCATGGCCATCGCGTTTTGAGCGAAGAGAGAGTGGTCTCTACTATTGTAGATGTAGATTCTGCATATTAGACCCCATAATGAAGTACTATTAAGCAAGAAAACGGACGACGTGCTGGTTCAGTGTGGTGACTGTGGTGAGGAGCAAGGAAGGAAGCGGCGTGTGCTGTGTGATACGGTACTGGCGGTCCTGGGTAGCGCTGGCGCTGGGGCTATCGTGCGGAGTTTGTGGAGTACAACATGCGATATGACGTCCCGGTGTGTACATCGTGTACTTTGCTAATGCGTATTCCGTTTAGCTATGTGGATGCACGGGTAGTACGGGTAGCATCACCTTAGATCACAGATGAGGCATAAAACAAGTCAAGGGCTTTGACAATATTGAAAGCCAGTTTTAATGCGAAGCGCACCTTATGGTTCATCTATATCTTACACAAATGCATAGTCCAGTACCCTTTTTATCTATCTACCACCAAACATCGATGCTGAAGTTTGCAACGCCACCTCGTTGTACTGTTTGTGTACATACGGCTACCTCGCCTTCTTGGCCATGGCCTTGCGTTTCCTCGCCTCGCCATTGAGGTTGGGCGCGGTGGCGTTCTGGATGGCGGCCTCCTCTTCAGTCAGATTGGATGTCTCGACCAGTGGCTTGTCAAGTAGTTCCTTCTTTCCGAGGATGCGTCCGGCGGTTTGGTTGTAGGCGAACATGGGGAGCTTGAATAGGAGGGTGTCGTAGATGGTGGGCTGGGGCTCCTCGTCGGGCTGGATGCTGTTAGTGAATGCACCGTGTTGGGGGCATGGATATACGTACGTCGACAAGGTATTCGCCCTTCATGCCATCCTCGTTCTCGACTTCCAGGAAGACATTGCCGACGGAGTCGACGACCAGAATCTTGCCGTTCTCAGAGACGATGCGCTTCTTGGCGCCCTGGGGACCGGAGATGACCTCTGCCTCGACCGGGGTGCTGATGCCGTCGTCGCGCGCCTTCTTGGCAGCTTGTGCCTTCTTGGGTTTCTTCGCATCCTTCTCCATGGCGCGTCGCTCGCGACGGTTGCGTGGGCCAACCTCCTCAGGTGTCTCTTCGGCCGTTTCGTTCTCGAATTGCTGGGCGTTCACAGGGGCGGCGCCGGCGTCAACTCCAGGAATGCCCTGCAGACCACTCTCGTCACCCCAGGCAGTCTTGCGCGCCTGGCGGACGAACCTCTCGGCGTAGTCCCTGCGGCGCTTCCATCCCATGACCAGGGCGAAGTAGTGGAAGCCTCCACCGAGAACGACGAGTAGACCGAAGATGACGGAGCCGAGGCCAGGGCGGAAGCGCTCGTAGTAGTAGCCAGAGCCCCTCCATGCTGGGAAGCCGTTCCTCAGGAAGTGGTCGTAACGCTCGCGCTCAGGGCCCTTCAGCAATTTTCCCACGACCGAGAGACGCTGGTAGGCGGCGGTGACCTTCTTCAGGTGCGCGTCGGTCTCCTTTTTAGACGGCTTCTTTCCCGCTGGGTTGGTCTTCGCATATTCGGTGACAAAGTTCTTGCGAGCCTTGTCCGGGTGGAGTTCGCGTGACTTCTTGCGGAGGGCCTTGGTCAATTGGTCTTGGGACGCGCTGGGCTTGACGCCGAGGAGATCGTAGAAGGTGATGTTGGCGCCGTCTGCTTTGGCGACCTCGTCACGGATGCGGAAGATTTCGTGGTCTGCAGTGCGCTGTCAGCAAGTAGCTCGCAGTGGCAGCTGGAGCTGGGGAATGCATGTGGGGAAGGCGCATATGTGGCCGCAAGTATGCACTTGAAGACGACATGCAATTGGAATACGCACCCTCTTTGGTCCAGGCAGCGGCGAATGCTGCAAAGAGGCACAAGACCAATGCGAGCAACGCGTGAGATCTCATGGCTGGGGTGGATGAAGTTTGGCTGTCTGCGAGCAAGTGATAGGGAGGCTGCAGGCTTGTGCCGCCAGATGTCCAGTAGTGCCGCGAGCCCGCTCGAGTGACGGAACGTGGCCCAATTAGTCTGACCGCTGTCGACGGCACACAGGTGTAGCAGGCCTGCGCGATAAAGAGGCTCTCTTCACGGTGCAGTCACTCTCCGCTTTCACTCCAAGTCTCTGCAATTGAATCAAAAATGTGGCCTCTTCACGACTTACATGTGAGACGCGGCTGAGCGTGTGGCTGTGTCAGTGGGCAGGCGCGACCCTGAACTACGGGATTCGCGGCAGGGGCCAACAAAAGTTCCCATACGGTCAGCGACACGCAACCTCCTCAACAACTCGACTTGCACTCCATCTACACTCACTTCAGCCGCGTCAGCGCATTCACTCTCTCGCGACTCTTTCCCATCCACGTAAGGCAGCCATCTACTACATACAATTCCACCTCCTTCCCCTCTAGAGGACACATCTCCAGCCTTCCCTCGACCTCCACCACTATCAGCAGCTGAACTGACCATGACTTCCCCTAAAGATCTCGAAGAACAACAGCAGACCCTCATTACCCCCGACCAGCGCCAACAAACACCACCCCCCGAAATCACGACCCACACACCTTCCGTCATGTCTCGCTTCAGCATCCCCATCGATGCCCTGACATCCAGGATGAACTTGGGCGGACGCTTCGACAGCATTCGCTCCACTTCAGTCTCCTCGCGCTTCGCCAACCTGCGACCCATCTCCGAGTTCTTCGACTTCAAGCGCATCTCCAAGCCCGCCAACTTCAGCGAGGTTCAGAGCAGGGTCAACTACAACTTGGGCTACTTCTCGAGCAACTATGCCGCCGTCTTCGTCATGCTCAGCATCTACAGCCTACTCACCAACTTGATGCTGCTCTTTGTCATCATCCTTGTGGTCGGTGGTATGTTTGGAATCGGCAAGTTAGAGGGCAATGATCTCCAGCTCGGTAGCTGGCGCGCGAGCACCTCGCAGCTGTACACTACGCTCTTCGTCATTGCGATTCCTCTCGGACTCTGGGCCTCGCCATTTTCCACTGTTCTCTGGCTCATCGGCGCAACAGGCGTCACCGTCGTGGGCCACGCTGCATTTTTGGACAAGCCCATCGAGTCAGCTTTTTCCGAGGAGGCGGTCTAGGTGGTCGGCCGCGAACTCCTCCTTACACTATGCCCCGCTGGGGAAGACCACCAGGGGGCTCGTCGGGTGTGGGGAGATACCACGAGGGGGGACAGAACGACGTGCATAGGTTTCAAGAATTGGATAGCGACGATGAGAAGGGTGGCGTTGTATTAGATCAGGCGTTTCAGCCGGCTTTGAACGGAAAGAGCATCAATCCGGATGAGCTTTACTTTAATGATATGGATATTAGTGCCTGGGAGGGCAGGGCAGCAGCTTTGGGTGAGGCAACATACCAAGACCGTGGCCATCAACGACATCATGACGAGTATCTTGGTAATATGGACAACCATTACTCGGCTGAATACGAAGAGATACTTTTCCGGCGAGTACTTGACAAGATTCGCATATCAAGAGCAGCAGGCAGGGAAGACGTGGATCTCACTTCAGAAGAGCTAGACGCGTATAATTCACGATTTCGCGGCCCGAGGACAGCGGCCGTTCGCCCTGAAGTCCAGTCTCGACCGAGCAGTGCTTATTATTCCAACGACCCCACAAGTGTGGTTAGAGACGATGCGACTAGCAAGCACGGCAGTTCTTCCAGATCGAAGAAAGATCAGAAACGAGGTTCAATCTTTGGATCAAAGTCGAAGGAGAAGCCCAGCAGTCGCAAACGTACGTCTACCATGTCAACCACAGATAGCCGTGCACCGCCACCCGGCTTCGTCATACCTGGCCCAGACGGACAGTCTATGTATGCGCCCATCAATGCTTACCAGGGTAGCCTGGAACGGGAACGGGAATCTCCACGTCCAGCGTCCCGTTCCGCGTCTGATGCTAGTCACTATGTCCCTTCGCCATCGCACGCCAGCTTCTCTCGCGAAATGCTCGGCGCGTTCCCAGAATCTGTGGTCGATTACCGTCCCACCACACCTCCAAGGCAAGGTCGTTCTATATCATCTCGACAGGCTGCATACGAGGCTGATCTCCTCCACGGGTCACGCACAAGATCGTCCTCTATTCAATCCGCTGGGCTTGTTCCGTTCCCCGTGGGGCCCTACCAGTACCACAACTTCAGTCCTACATCCTCTACATCACCGACTTCGCCTCAACCGCAATATACACGGAGTGTAAGTTCGGCCGCGTCTGAAGCTAGCTACACATCAGTGCCACGACGTGTTCCTCTCCCTGCTGCTGCATCGGCATCGCTTCAACGAGCGGCACCTGCAGCACGTAGCCATGTCAGCCAGTCGGATCCAGCTCTAGCTGCACAAGCATCAAGCTCTGCTACTCCAGCCCAACCTCAGGAAGCTGCCAGAG